AGTGGTGGAAGATGTGTCCTGGCACCTGCTCCATGAATCCCTCTTTGGATCTGTTGCTGATGATCAGAAGCTCATGATGTAAGTGGGGGAACCCCTTCCCAAGTTCTTTCTGCCCCTCACCTCTCTCAGCTCCCATGTTTTTTGCTCTGTTGTGTGTTTCTCGAGCTGTGTTTTCACATAATATTTCTTTCCTTTCTATGAAATGGTTTTTGGAACCTGGGGGAGCCCTCGAGCAATAAAAGGTGTTTGTTTGTTTGTTTGTTTGTTTGTACAAGGGTGACTGTCAGTCTGTCTGTCTGTCTCTGCCCCACACGGGCAGGGCGGTTCTTGGGCCCGCGTTTCAAAGGATGAGTCTGGACTCTCCAGCTTTTCCATCTTCAGATTGTTTATTGTTTCTTATCTACAGAATTTTCTGTCTGCCCAACAGAGGTCTGACCTGCAAGGCAGCAAAGGGCACTCTGCCCACCCACGAGGCCATCATGTCTTTTTATACTAAAATCTACATACATGATATTTACTTTTATTTTATTTTCACCCATGTTGGCAAGTGCACCTTCACCATGAACCAATCCCCAAGTGCCAACATCACCACAGGAGATGGAGGACAAGAAGAAGAAAGAAGAAGGACGAGACACGCCCTGATCCCTCCATCTTGTCTCCATAACCCCCCTGTACCAAAAACCTTAAAGTTTATATCTCACCCTATAAATGTGTCCCTGTTACACCCTTCACTCTAAAGTGATTCTCTTGTCCTCAAACTGCTGTCACTTCTGTGGATGGATCAAAATCAAGCCACCAAACACTCCTGGCAACATTCCAGGGTTTCTGAGACCCCCAAGGGTTCCCCTGGCATCTCTGGACTGCTGAGTTCCCACAGGTGACCCCAGTGCCCCTGTAATCAGTGAAATGAGGCACAAACCTTTGTTAATTCCACATTTTCCCCTCACAGCTGGGACACCCGGTCGAACAACACCTCCAAACCCAGCCACTCTGTGGATGCTCACACAGCTGAGGTGAACTGCCTCTCCTTCAACCCCTACAGTGAGTTCATCCTGGCCACAGGGTCAGCTGATAAGGTACTTCTGCCTGCATCCTGCAGCATCCTTGCTCGCTCTCTGGGGTGGATCTATGTGTTGGTTACTGCAACAAAATATTTTTTATATTTTTTTCCCCCCCTCCCAGACCGTCGCTCTATGGGACTTGAGGAACCTGAAACTGAAGCTGCACTCCTTTGAGTCACATAAAGATGAAATATTTCAGGTATAAAAAATAGCATTTATCTTTTATCCTCACAGACTCAATTCTACTCAGCAGCCTGGAAAAAGAAAGTAATTCTTCCACGATGTTTTTACACTTAAAAACTCATATTCTGTTATTTTACCTGCTTCTGTTTTTCTGGGTGTTGTTATTGTGGACCTGCAGAGCTCCCAGAGTCCAGAAAGGGATCAGGGAAATGCTGTGGAGCTTTAACCACAGCAGGAGGATGAAATGGTAGCAGTGCAGAGCCCATTAAATTATTCATGGCAGCAGATTGAAGCAGGAGGCCCTGGGAAATGGCTGCAGTGTTTGCATCTCCTCAGCCTGGTCCTGCAGGAAGCTTTAACACTCTCTGACAAAAGATAATTGCTGATTTTGCTGCTGTAGATGGAGAATGTTCACTCCATGGGCAGCACCTGCTTAGCAGATTAAATATTTCCATCTCCAACTCGTGCCTTAATCAGAGGAAAAATATGTAGGAGGTTTTTTTTTTTGGTGGAGGGATTATCAGTTCAGACTGTGTTATGTCTAAATAAAATTACAGAATCCTGAAATGCCACATTAGTGGGCAGAATTCTGTGTTCCTTCCTAATCCTGTGATCCTATTATGAGTGGTGTGTTCAGGAGAGCTTTATCTCCAGCAGAAGCAATAAATGTGAGCTTTTGGGCAGTTAAGCTTCATTACAGTGATTTCTTTTCATGTGAGAGCTGTGCCTGCTGCTGAAGGAGTCTGGGGGTTCTGTTTGTGCAATCCTGATTAAGATAAGGAGCAGCCAATACCCTTGGGAGCTGTTTGCACTGGGAACACCTGGGTTTTGTTAGAGGACAAGCTCCAGGTGGCACCTTTCTGGTGAAATTTTGGGTTTTTTTGTGTGTGAATATTCACAATTCTTCCTGTGATAAATGTTATTTACACCGTTTGTGTTGGTACCAGTCTGAGTTCTTGTAGAGCTTTCAGGGCACAAAATGAAGCGTTGGGGAATGCTAGAGCTTCTTAAAACTCACTTTTAAATTGAATAAATAAGTGTGTTATTAAATTAAATGAAATTTAATAAATTAAATGAAATTTAATAAATTAAATTTATTAAATTAAGTTAAATTAATTTTTAAAAACTCACTTTTAAATTTATCCCTGCAGGTTCAGTGGTCTCCCCATAATGAAACCATCCTGGCCTCCAGTGGCACAGACCGCAGGTTAAACGTTTGGGACTTGAGGTAAATCCCAAATTCCTCAAAATATTACTGATTCATTCCATCACACCTTAAAAAACAAACAAAAAACCCCCTCAACCCTCACCTTTTTTTTCCTCTCTTTTTTTTACAGCAAAATTGGAGAGGAGCAATCCCCTGAGGATGCTGAGGATGGTCCCCCAGAGCTCTTGGTGAGTCTTTTTTCACTCTCATGAATTAATTTCACTTTTTACTCACCCTGCAGTGCAAATTTCAAACCATTCCCCTTTTTGTTTCCCCAATCCCAGTTTATCCATGGTGGTCACACTGCAAAGATCTCGGATTTCTCCTGGAATCCCAATGAGCCCTGGGTCATTTGTTCTGTATCAGAAGATAATATCATGCAAGTCTGGCAAATGGTGAGTTCCTAGGGTTGGGTGATGGTGCTGAAATTCCTGGATTTCAGCATTCCTGCTTTTATTTACAGCCCTCAGAATTCCCCAGCCTGTAGCACTGCCAAAATCTCAAAGGGGGCAGTGAAATCCCCTTTAGTTTTGTGTTAAAAAAAAAAGGAATTGCTGGTGCAGAAGGAAATTTTTCCCTTCTGTGTTTGAATGGAAACAGTGTGTGAGAACCAAGAATGAAATTGAGGTTTCTGTATTATTATTATTAAAGAATATTTGAGATTTCATTCTCCAAAGATGAAAAAGGTGCTGGTGAACAGGAACAGTTTGCTGGCCCCTACATTCCCAGCTGCTGAAGGTTTTGGAAAATAATCTTGACCTTTGACAAGACCATTTTCCTTTTTTGTTTATCTCTAAATTTTCTTCTTGCCTGCTTTCTGTGTAATTCTTCCAGAAAGTGCTGCTGAGTAGAGGATCTGCAAAACAAATACTTGAAACTCTTTTGTGAGTCTTGCAGTGGAGTCTCCTTTAGCAGATCCCTTTTCACAGAACATTTTTTGAGTCATGGGTTTCTAGATAAGATTGTTTGTGTTGCTGCTTCAATGTAAATCAGTCATGGGTGATCCACATCTGCAAATTAAAACTTTCTGGGGGTGGAATCCTGTCCAGAGGGGTGGGAAATGCTCCCTGAGTGTCTCCATCCCTGTCCTGCAGGCAGAGAACATCTACAACGATGAAGATCCTGAAGGAAGCGTGGATCCAGAAGGCCAAGGATCCTAGATGGCAACTTCTCCTTCTCCCTGCTTTAGTCTTTGTCCTTCTCCTCCCTCTCAGCCCTGAGATTGACTCAGCACTGGTTTTGAGACACACACCTTGACTTTGTGTTCACCCTGTAGATCCCATCACAGCCTTTTCCACCCACACACTGAGATCCCACCACCCAAAAAAAAGAAAAAATAAAGGGCTCAGCCCCCTCAGCCAGGTCCCTGCTGTGGCTCCAAAATTCCTGCAGCTGCCTCCTTTATTGGTCTGCCTGGCCCTTTTTTACTGCCTTCATGCTTGGGATTAGTTTGTTTTCCCTCTCTTTTGCTTGCTGCAGCCACAGGCTTTTTGCCTAATTTAAACAAAAGTTAAATTGGCAGAGCTGCCCGAGTGGGCTTGAGCCAACAGAGATGATCCAAGTGTTAATGCCCTGACAGCTCAGAAATGGTGTGGAAGGTCTTGTCCTCCTCAGTACAACTCAGAGACCTTGGAATTCCTTTACTTATCTCTACTTTGTGGCTTTTTCTGCCTTTGCAGATACAAGACTTGCAAGTTCTGACTTGAACTGAAATTTTTCTTTTTTTTTTTTTTTGTCTCTCCTGGCAGTTCTGGGTTTTTCATTCCTTCCTTCCTTTCCCCTTTCCTCCCTCCTGCTGGGTGCCAGCAGTTTGGTTTTAGCTATTCCTGCAGAGCCTCTCTCAGCTCCCATGTTTTTTGCTCTGTTGTGTGTTTCTCGAGCTGTGTTCTCACATCATGTTTCTTTCCTTTCTGTGAAATGGTTTTTGAAACTTGGGGGAGCCCTCAAGTCGTAAAAGGTGTTTGTTTGTACCAAGGGTGACCCCAGTGCCCTCAGCAGCCTTGGCAGCTGGTGGAAAACAAGTGAAATGTGGATAAACTCAGCTTTTTTTAGGAGTTTAGTCCTTGACCACGAGGTCCTGCACGTCTTCCACTCGGGTGTCCAGTGCCACCAGCAGCCTGTTCTCTCCATCTCCTCGTGACTAATTGCGTGTTCTTCAGTTGGAATAAAGTTTTTCTACAGAAATGCTGCCAAGGTTGAGGAGTTTTGTGCTCTTTCTGCATTTCCTGCTTTGTTGAGGGGATTTGCAGGGTGGTCTCACAGCCTATGTGTGTCCATGAGGTTTTGGGTGCTGGTAGGGATAGATTTTAATTTTTTAAGACATTAAATTGGATATTTCTGCCCCTCTCATTTTCTGCTTCTTTGTGAGATAAATTAATGAGCACTCAAACAATTGTTCTTCCCCTCAAGCCCTGCTGCTTTCTGCATTTTAACTCTGCCTTTAGCCCTTTGCACAAGGCTTTTATGTTATCCTGCAGCAGGACTTTGACACAAACACCTCAGTTTGACAAATTTGGGCTTTTGAGACACAGCTCCGACAGCAAAAAGGCTCCTTAAACTCTGACCTTTTATTTTCAGTGTGAGACTCGATATAAAGTGGAAACCTCTTCCCCACCACCTCATTTCTGTGGAGCATCTCCCAGTACAGCAGAAACTCTTGAAATACAAAAGAAAATCCTCTTCAAAGGAGAGAGCTTCTCTTGCATGTAAACTGTAAAAGTCAAACCCCTCCTAACACCAGCTCCCAGAACTTTCCGTGCAGGCTTGAACAACTCAACATTTTCCCAAACACAGCAAAACCATCAATCAGTTACTCCTCATCCATATCCTTTGTTCAGTACCAGGATTGTCTGCTCTGCTCCTCTGGGGAAAAGCACTTTGACTACAAGAGCAGCAGCAGCAGCAGCACCTGGGGAAATACCCAGGGAAAGGATTGGAATTCCCAGCTCCAGGCGGCTGCTGCACATCAGGCAGGGTAAAGCAGCACGAGGAGAAGTCCCTTGGATCCTCTGGCCGTTGGGTTTTGCTACAAAGAGGAAAATTCTGTGGCTCTAAGAGTCCTGCTCTGCTTTTTCCTCCGATTTGCAGAGGTGGCCGTAGATTTCTAAGCAGCTCCTGTGAGGGGAGAAAGGAAATTGAGGCTGTGGAATATTTGCATCAGTGCTTTGGCTGGAGAAAAGAGGGGGGGAAAAAAAGTTCTTTTCATAATATGGAAGAAAATGGAATTGGGAAACACTTGAAGGGGCTCAGTCCATGGTCAGGAGTGTGTGAACCCAGCCCAGCCCTTCCAGAGCCCTTGGCAAACAGGATTTAGCAGAAGGAAATGTCATTTTTGGGGGAGCTCATGGAAAAGGCAGCTCAGAACTGCGCTTAACTCTGAGCTCCCCGGAGCAAATGTGAAAGCTCATTTAAAGGTGTCATTCCAGGGATGGCAATTTGTGAATTGCAGGAGTTCAGGAGACTCCACTGCTGTATTTGGGATTAAATGTTGGGCTGTGATTTAGGAGAACCCCAGGCTGCAAGGACAGGGGGGTGCTGGGATCTGGGCTGAACCCTAAATGCAGTTTGCAGGCTGAGAGCTCATCCCTGTGCTGGGATAAAAAACCTTTGGGGTTTTAATGTGCTCCTGGGTGGAGAAGGGGAAAAAGGAATGCTACAGGAAAGGCTGCAGAAAACGCTTAGGAGTGTGTCCAGCTGAGGCTGGAATAACACAGCAGCTCCAAGCTGGGTGAGTAATACAACCCACAAACTCATGGACGTTTTCTGGAGCTTTAGAAATCCACATTGCACATCACTCATTGAGTGAAACCAGGAGAGAACAGCTCCAGCATCCCAGCCCAGCTGCCCAAAGCCAAACCTCAGCTCCTTTCCACGTATTCCTGAGGAAACCACCACTTAAGCTGCCACACCTGCTCCTTGGGAAGCCACTCCACTCCTCTGCGGGAGTTCCCAGCAAATCCCTCTGTGCTGCTGTGCAAAGGAGCTGGAATTGCTGCTGGGGACCAGGAGCAGGAGCCTGTGGTGTCCCTGAGCTGTGTGACCCCGCTGTGGGCTCCTCTTCACCATCCCTGTGACCCCGCTGTGGGCTCCTCTTCACCATCCCTGTGACCCCACTGTGGGCTCCTCTTCACCATCCCTGTCACCCCACTGTGGGCTCCTCTTCACCATCCCTGTCACCCCACTGTGGGCTCCTCTTCACCATCCCTCTCCTGTTCCCAGCCCTGTGACCCCACTGTGGGTTCCTCCTCATCCCTGTGACCCCGCTGTGGGCTCCTCTTCACCATCCCTGTGACCCCACTGTGGGCTCCTCCCCTGCATCCCTCTCCTTTTCCCATCCCCGTGACCCCATTGTGGATTCCTCCCCATCCCTGTGACCCCACTGTGGGCTCCTCTTCACAAACATCCCTCTGTTCCTCCCATCCCTGTGACCCCATTGTGGGCTCCTCTTCACCATCCCTGTGACCCCACTGTGGGTTCCTCCCCACCATCCCTCTCCTGTTCCCATCCCCATGACCCCATTGTGGGTTCCTCCCCATCCCTGTGACCCCACTGTGGGCTCCTCCCCACCATCCCTCTCCTGTTCCCATCCCTGTGACCCTACTGTGGGCTCCTCCCCACCATCCCTCTCCTCCTCCCAGCCCCTCTGCCCCGCAGGGATGAGACCCAAGCTCACTTGTAGATGGAGAGCTCCCGATGGAGGCTGGTCCTGAGCTCCTCCAGCTCCTGGTTCTTGCGTTGCTGGAGCTGGACGCCGTTCTTGAGCTCCTTCAGCCTGTCCTCCAGCTCCTCCACCTGCTCCTGCAGGGAGAAAATGGGTGCAGAGCTGATTATTCTCCTCAGGGATCTCCCTGTTCGTGCCGCTGCTCGGGACAAGCACAGCCAGGCTGCCCCTGCCCAACCACCCTCTCTAAAAACCTCTGCAAAATAAACCTTTAACACAAAGGTGGGGATTTAGGCTGGGCTGGGCTGTGTTTTGTCCTCAGGCTTCTCCTGGCTGCTTGGTTTTGTCCCCTGAACCACTTGCTGTGTGTTTTGAGAAGCTGCCAGAGCTGTATAAACCCGTGAGTCACAAGGAGATAAATGAGGAATTTGGGAAAAGGAAAATGTGGAGAGGCACACCAGGGGTCCAAAAGACCCTGAAAACCCAGGCCAAGCCCTGGTGTGGGTGCTGGTGGCTCTGATCCCCATCCCAGCAGGGAGGAGCTGGGATGGAAGAAGGGCAATGGCAGCTTCCAGAAACTGCTGGGAGGAGGCAGCGATTGTGAGCCGAGAACTGGGAGTGTTGAAAGGGGGGAGATTAATTGTGGGGCCTCTTTGCCAAATGTGCTCTTGGAGAGATTGAATTGCCTTGTCCCTCAGGCCAAGGGGATGCCTGGCCCAGCCAAATGAGCCTCCCAGGAGGCAGCCTGGCCTGGGGACATGGGGACATGGGGGAGACCCTTCCTGGCACCAGGGAGGGCAGAACTGCCCCAGCAGGAAGGGGATTTGTAAGAAAAGCCACCTGCGTTTAAAACTGGCTTTTCTTGGCTCAGCGCTGTGCTCAGAGGAGCTGTGGCAACTGTCTGGTGCCTGTGCTCAGCAGCATTGCTGAGCTTTGGGAAGGAAATCCCCCATCCCTTCCACCTCATCCCTGGAGCCATCTCTGAGAGGCCAAAACCAAGTGAATATATTCAGGAGAAACCTATTTTCCAAGCTGGGTGAAGCCCCACCACATCTCTGGTGGGAGCTCACCACATCTTATGCCTGGGAGCTGCTGTTTCACCTGGCCCGTGCCAGAGTGTGGGATAATTTTGATTCCAACCAGCAGGAGATATTCCACATCCTCCCCATCCTCATCCACCCCGTTTCCCTGGGCCCTACAGTCAAATCCTGGATGCCAAGCCCAGCTCCTACTCTCCCAAGAGGATGGAGCCGGTGCCCTTTGGGGCACGTACCCGGTACTGCCCGACCTCCTCGTCCCTTTTCTGCTTGACCAGCACGATCTGCTCCTCCAGGCTGCGGTTCTGCATCCTCAGCCGGCTGACCTCACCCTGCAGGGGCCTCAGGGCCTCCTTCATGCCCTGGATCTCCCCCTGCATCTCCTGCAGAGCCTTGGCCCCGGCCTCTCGCCGCTCCAGCAGCCGCAGCAGCTGCGGCTCGTAGTGCTCCTCCAGCCCCCGCCGGCTCTGGGCCACGAAGCTCTCGAATTCCAGCGACAGCCTGCGGCTCTCCTGCAGGTACAGGTTGTCCTGGCGGCAGGGAGGAGCCTCCAGGCGCTGCCTCAGAACTTCCTTCTCCTTCTCGCAGGTCTCCTTCAGCTGGGACAGCTCCCCCGAGAGCTGCCCCGCCTGGCTCTGCAGCTCGCCCTGGTAGGCGGCGTGCTGGGAGAGGTCGTGCCTGCGGCTCTCCAGCTGGTACTGGCAGGCCACGCACTCCTTGGTCACCCTGAAGAGTTTCTGCTTGATCTGGCGGATCTCATCGCGCAGGTTGTCCCTCTCCAGCTCCACCTTGGCCAGCAGCCTGCAGGCAGCCTGGATCTCCTCGTGGGCATGGCGGATCTCCTGCAGCGCCGGCTCGCGCAGCTGCGCCAGCTCCGAGATCAGCCGGTCCCTCTCCCTCTCCAGCTGCTCCACCACCTCGATGCACTCCTGGAAATAATTCCCCAGCTCTTCCAGGCTCAGGCATCGGTGCTCTGTGGTATCAGCATCCAGAGGGCCGCCTGCTCCCTCCGTGTCCATGTCCAGCGGGATCCCTGCCCCATCTGCATCATCTGGGATCCCTGCCCTGTCTGTGTCCATGGCCAGTGGGATCCCTGTCCCATCTTCATCCACATCCAGCAGAATTCCTGCTGTATCCTCATCCAGTGGGATCCCTGTCCCACCTTCATCCCCGTCCAGCGGAATTCCTGCTGTGTCCTTGTCCACTGGGATCCCTGTCCCACCTTCATCCACATCCAGCAGAATTCCTGCTGTACCCTCATCCACTGGGATCCCTGTCCCACCTTCATCCACGTCCAGTGGAATCTCTACCCCGTCTGCATCCATGTCCAGCGGGATTCCTGTCCCATCTGCATCCATGTCCAGTGGGATTCCTGTCCCATCTGCATCCATGTCCAGCGGGATCCCAGCCCCGGCTGCACCCTCACCCAGCTGAGCTCCTGGTGTGCTCATCTCCAAGGAAGGATCTCTGCTGGCAGCCTGCAGCTCCTGCCTGGAGTCTGGGCTGCCCCTGTGCAGGGGTTTAGATCCATTCCCTGCTGGGTCCAACGGGCTGTGAGGACGTTCTGAGTGTGGAGCAGCTCCTTCAGCTGCTCCCTGCGGGGCTGGGGATGCTCTGGCTTCATCCAGCAGCAGCTCTGGAGGGGGCTCGGGCTGTGCCATCAGGTCCCTGGGGAGGAGAGGGGATGTGAACCAGAGCAATGAGTGTAACAGGTCTTGGCCTTTCCTCCCCACCCTGTGAGACCCCAGAGCCAGGGGGTGCCACCATGGCCCTGCTGCTGTGACCATCCCCGTGTCACCCACACAACACCCTGGTGACAACTTGGGCCCGGAAAGCAAGGAAAGAAAACCCCATTAAAACCCTATTCAAGCGTCTGAGTGCCCCGGAGGAGGAGTGAGGGATGCAAACCCAGACCCCAAACCCAAGCACTGCTCCTGTCAGCACCAACCCCCCCAGCAGCACCGACCTGCCCCGTGCAAGCACTCCCTGGAAAACTCGCCGGGATTTTCTCGCTGTGCCATAACCTCACGCCAAGGGAATGCGCTGCTGGGAGCCCGGCAGGCTCCGGGATGACGGAGACGGAGCAAACCCCACACGCGGAGCCCCGGGGCGAGCGGCAGCGCCTGCAGCAGGAGCCGCTTTGCCGAGTCATCCGATCCCATCATTGTCCCCACCACGGCACCTGCGGCTGCCACCGCGGCCGAACCCTCCCTGTGCCTCCTCCCGGCCGCTGTTTGGGGTAGGATGGACACGACAGAGCTCGGGGACGAGCCGGGCTTTTCCTGCTGCCGCCAGGATCGGTGGGATCGGTGGGAGGATGCTCTCACCTCTCGGCCACGCTGCTGAGCTCATGTCTCGTCATTCCCTGAGGAATGAGCGCAGGCTGGCACTCACAGGCAGCCCTGGGCTCGGAGCAACGGCTTTGAGCAAAGAACTGATTTTCCCCGATAGTTTCTCTCCTAATAAGGCAGTTTTCGGCACCGCTGACACATCGCAGCCTCGGGCTCAGCGGCCGGGCGGCTGGGGAAGGGGGCAGCCCCTGCAAAGGTGGGGAAAAGGCTCCTCTGCCCCGATTTTCCCTGCCCTCCCCGCTGCCCGGGCTTGTTTTTGGAAGTTCTTGGAGCCGCTTGGCACGGCCGGGACGGGAGGGGAGGGCACCGTGTCCTGCCTGCCCAGCGGCCCGGGGGGGCTCTGCCCCTCACCCCAGAGCCCCCCAAAACTCCTGCGTGCCCCAGAGGGACCTTCCCCACCCCTACCTGACCATTCCTGAGGATCCAGGAACGCTGAACCCCCGATCCCCCCGCCCCATCCCTGCCCCGCCTCGCCGGGGATCCCGCACTCACAGGACCCCCCAGGACCCCGGCCCCTTCCTCCCGGCCCGGGTGGGCTCTTACCTTCCTCCCCTGGAGCCCAGCGCCGCCGGCTCTGCGCTGCACATGGGCTGAGCATGGGGCGGAGAGGGGTTATTAATAAACAGCGCTGGAAATCAGACTCCCCGAGCAGCCGCTTCCCCCCGGCCACCGCCTGCAGTGCCAGCTGCGGCCGCTGCCTTCCTCCGCCCCGGGGAGGAGGAGGAGGAGGAGGAGGAGGAGGAGGAGGAGGAGGAGGAGGGCGGGGAAGGCCCGGCTGGCCGCATCCCTGGCAGAGGCAGCCGCAGGGACGGGCTGCAGCCAGCCCGCAGCCCCCATCCCGCCCCGGCTGTTCCCAGCCCTGATTTATGGGCGAGCTGGGCTTTGTGGCCCCTTCCCGAGCCACTGGCGGATCCGCAGGTCCCCATCCCGCCGGGATCCTAGGCTGGGATGAGGATAATGGGATGGGGGTAATGGGGTGGGGATAATGGGGTGGGGATCATGGGGTGGGGATCATGGGGATGGGGGTAATGGGGTGGGGATCATGGGATGGGGATCATGGGGATGGGGATAATGGGGTGGGGATCATGGGATGGGGATCATGGGGATGGGGATAATGGGATGGGAATCATGGGATAGGGATAATGGGGTGGGGATCATGGGATGGGGATAATGGGGTGGGGATAATGGGGTGGGGATAATGGGGTGGGAATAATGGGGTGAGGATCATGGGGTGCCTCGGTGGGGTCCCCCGGGGCTGTGGGGTTTGGCTGCAGTGGGAGGGGAAATGCCAGAGGATGAAGCTCGGGGCCCTCAAATGCCACGGGGGGATGGAATGGGATTTGTGAGGCTGCACTTCCCAGGAATTGATTATCCATGGATTCAATCCCAATATCTCGGGGTCCTTCCTACGCCCCACAAACCCACAAACCCCAGTAATGGCAGAGCACAGCCTCTGCTTCCTCTTCCGCCCCACAACCGATCCCTGCCACCCTTTTCCCTCTGTTTTGGGGACGCACAAGGTGACATTTCTCCCTGCAAAGGCCCGTGGTGGCCGTGATCACGCTCCTGGGTGTCCAACAGCAACTCTGCCCTCACCCTCTTGGTTTCCCAGCTCTTCCCTCCCATGGTTCCCATCCACATTCTCCCCACTCTGTGGACCCTAACCCCACATTTATCCATCATATCGCCAACAAATATTTATCTAAACCCCCACATTTCGATATGTTTTGCCACGTGGGCGCGGGTGCATCATCCTGGGGTCACCGTTTGTCCTGGCGGTGGTGGTGCTGCCCCCCGAGCCTACCTCTGCCCTCCGCCTCTCCTGCCGTGCCCAGGAAGTCGGCGCTCGCCTCTCAGGAAGTTTCGGCTCTAACGCGCCCCAGGAGCCGCCAGCAGCGCCCAGCAGAGCGTGTGACATCGCCGGTGCCACCCCGCCGCCGCTGGCACCGTCACCTCGCCCATGGCGCGCTGGCCACGGGGCTGCAGAAATCAGGTTTAAAACACCAGCGCTGGGCCATCCTTCGGGAACAGAGCTTTAAAAGGAAAAGGGAGATTTGAGTGGGTTTGGTTTTTTTTTTTTTCTTCTCTTTTTTTGGATCCCGTTGCTTTTTTCAGCGCGACACACCTTCTTTTGCTCCCTCTTTTTTTTCCATGAAGCGCCTCTATTTTTGACTCAATCGGAGAGGAATGCCGTTAATTCGCACAAGTTGGGTGTATAAATATCTATCTAAAGCTGCGACTGCCAAGGGGAGAAACCTGCGGATCACACGGGCGGGGTCCAACAACCCTTGTAGGGCCTGGAGGGGACAATGACAGCGCCGAGCCCGGGCTGGGCTTCATCTGCCGAGCTGCCAAGGGCAGGGTGGGGAGTGAGGAGGCTCAGCTGTTCCCCGTAAGCGGATACCCCGGCCCAGGCCCCGGCACGGGGATGTTTTGTGGATATAACCAGGCAACAGCCGGCCCCGGTGTCCGCGGTGTCCGCGGTGTCCCCGGCAGGGCCGGGCCGTGCACGGAGACGCCGCCGGCAGCGAACAACGCGGACTTTGCTCCGGTAAACAGAGCTGGTGGGGCGGCACCGGCGCTGCCAGAGGCGAGGAAAAAGTCAGGAGAGAGTTGGAGAGAGCTGGAGGGAGCTGGAGAGACGGAGAGTTTGAGATGCGGCTGTCGGGATGGGCGGCAGCGCTGCCAGCACAGCGTGAGGGGCAGTGGGGGCAAAGAGCGGCTGCGGCCCCTCTCTGGTGCCCTGGGGCTGTCTCTCCCTCCCGGGTGGGTTTTTCCTTCTCGTCACGCTCGGCAGATCTGCCCCTGGCACCAGGGTGGCACCAGCCTGGCACTGCCACCACGGCAGCTCCGTCCCCGGATTTCAGATCCTGCTGGATTTCAGATCCTCCTGTTGGGAATGTGGAGGAGAGGAGTGTGTTCAGTGATGAAAAAACACCGAAATGTTCCAAATCAGGAGTTTCGCAAGAAATGCAAATGCCCGGGTTCAGGTGCTTGATAAAGGGGAAGGATTGGAATCATTCTGTGCTTCTGAAATGCATCAATGCTCTGCAAAAAGAACATTTTCTCCCAATCTTTGCACGATCTTTAGGGACAGGCTGGAAGGACCAGCCCGACTTTGGGGCTCTGGCAGCGCTGTGGAGTGTCCCACAATGGGATCCCGCTTGCAGTAGGATTCCGGTGGAAGGGGTTTAGGATCGGGGCTCTGGCAGTGCTGGCAGCCCTGTGGAATGTCCCACAATGGGATCCCAGCTCCCGGTGGGATTCCAGCGTGGAAGGGGTTTAGGATCGCGGCTCTGGCAGCGCTGTGCCCGGGCTCGCTCTGTTTGCCGAGGGCGCGGGGGGTGCCAGGCCCGGCCCCTCGAGTGCAGGAGCTGCAATCTGATCCCAGGGAACGCGTGATTCATCCCTGGAGCCGGCAGCGCTCCCAGGGAAGGTCCCGGCTCCGAGGGCGGTGGCCCCGTGCGCCACTCCCGGTGCCCCGGCCGGGTGAGGGGTCCCCGGTGGCTCCCTGGGGGCATTTACCCAGCTTTGAGGGCTTGGATGCCACTGTCCCCTCGGGAGCGCACCTGGTTTGCTTCGCCTCGTGCCTCAGTTTCCCCAGTAAGAGCTGGACCCTGGAGAGGGAGGGGCCAGCAGGGATGGAGGAGGAGGAGGAGGATGGGGAGTGAAACGTGGGCATGTGCCCAGCCGGGGCAGGGATGAGAGGGGAGCCCGGAGGCGCCGTCTGCCCCGCAGGGACCTGGGGATCTCCAGGGCGGCCGGGCCAGGCCGTGCCCCGGTGCCACCGGCGCCAGCGGCTCCCGCTTGTCCGGGTCCTGCTGGGTCCTGCTGGGTCCTGCGGGGAAGAGGATGAGGAAACCTCGCAGCAGCTCCTCAGGAGACCCCGGCCCGGCCAGGGAGGCAGAGGGGCTGAGGGCGGTTCCAGCAGCGGGGAATCCCGCTCGGATATCGGGATTCAACATCTGCCCCAACATCTGCTGCCGCGGCAGCCGCGGGTGTCACCTGTGTCACACCCGAGCGGATTTCACACCCCAGGCTGGCGCTGGGGGCAGCTCTGCTGTGTCCCGCACGGCGCCGAGGTTGTGCTGACAATGCCTCGGGATTTTCTCTTCCCGGAGAGGTTCGGGATGCTCGCACAGGAGCGGGAGATGCCTCTTGTGGCCGCCTGTCCCTGTCACCGCGACATGGGCGATGCTCCTGGGCTGTGCCAGGGCTGTCCCTGTCACCGCCACGGAGCTGGGAAGGAAAGACCCTAATTGCTGTTTATTCATCCCATTCCGTGTGCCCGAGCCCTGGGCAAGGACACCAGTGCCTCCCTTTGCCTGTGACATTTTCAAACCGCATTTTTACAACTGAGCTGATTCACCAGCAGTCCCCGCGTCCCAACGATCGCGGCCCAGGCTCCGCGCTGGCTTTTTCCATGCCCTGGGGCAAGAAACGAGGAGCAGGAGGGGTTCGGGGGCCAGCAGCTCCTGCTCGGGGCACGCACGGGGCTCCGAGGGATGCGGGAGGACCTTGTCCCGGCGTTAATGAGTAATGAGGGAGCAGCCAGGGCTCCGTGTCCCCGCCGGGGCATGGAAATGGAGGCAGGGGAGGGATGAGCCCAGCCCGGCTGCAGGAGCTGCCGTGGCTGCTCAAGCGTGTGATGGCACCGCTGCCAAACGATGGTTTGGGTGCTTTATTCTGGGTTTCCCTTCCCAGGGGTCCCCATTTCACCGGGGGGACGTGGCAGGGTCTCTGCCTCCCCCGTGCCTGGTGGGAGCTGAGCTCTTGGGGGAGCTGCTGTCCCCAGGAGGGTCCTGTGATCATCCTGGAAATGAATTACCCAGCTGGGGACCCTGCTGGAGCTCTCTGGGAGATTTCTGGGGCTCTCCATGAAGTCCTGGAATTTCTAGGGCTGGGACAATGCTCCTCTTCACCTTCCTCTTCACCTTCCTCTTCACCTTCCTCTTCACTTTCCTGCTGTGCTTCCCTCGCCCCTCTGATGGAAGCTCCCCCCACAGTGTAACTGATCCTTTCTCTCTCTCTCACTGATTATTTGGACAATGCTCCATTACTCTGGGCAGAAATATTTTCCAAACTGGTTCTGCTGCCACACGAGGAGGGGAAAGATGAAAAATGGGATTTTTTTGGGTTTTTTTTTTTTGGAGGTTAATGACTCAGAAGTCGGAGCCAGCAGCAGAAATTCAACACAAACACCTTAATTGGGGATTAGGGTCTCCTCAGTGCAGCTCAGCTCGACGTGGGCCAGCAAAGCCCAGGGAGCAGTGACACTCTCAACCTTCATCCTGCAAAGGAATCGACCCCCTGGCACCATGGAGGGGCACAGGAATTTCTGCCCAACTCCTTCCAGTGCTGATTTCAGCCTTGAGTTTGGGTTCAGATGGGTGGAGGGGAGGGGGGATGTGAGGCAGGGACACAAAACCCCAGCAAATCCCGGCCTTTCCTCCCTGGATTTGGAGCCAAATCCCCGCCCCTGGTGACTGCTGCTCCTGGGAAGCAGCAGGATGCTCAGGTTTGCACAGCCCACAAGATGCCAGAGCCTGAATCCCACAGGAGATGCTGATGTGCTGGGAAGGCTGAGGGATGGGGAGGCTTCTTGCTTCAGAAACCCTTCCAGGCATTTCCAGCAGCTGGCAAACTCCTCTGGGAGCGTGGCCAGGCCCTGGGAGCGTCCGGGAAGGATGTGGCTCCAACACAGCCAGCAGGAAACACAGGAACCCGAACCCCTGGGAGCCAGGAGCCTGGAAATGCAGCAGAAAGCAGCTGAGCTCCTGTTGGGATCCTTGCCTTGACTTTGGCACGTTCCTGTCACCGACCTGCTGCTGCTCCAGCCCAGTCCCTGCTCGTCCTCTTGTCCCCTCTCAGCTGGATCAGAGAATCATGGAATGGTTTGTGCTGTGAGGGAACTTAAAACTCATCTTGTTCCAACCCCCTGCCATGGCAGGGACACCTTGCACTGTCCCAGGTGCTCCAAGCCCCATCCAGCCTGGCCTTGGGCACTGCCAGGGATCCAGGGCAGCCGCAGCTGCTGTGGGCACCCTGTGCCAGGCCTGCCCACCCTCCTAGGGGAGGATTTCCTCCTGAAATCGAATCTAGATCAGATTGGAGTGCTCACGCTCCTGAGCAGCACCAGGGCAGTGAAATCCTTCCCCAGATTCCCTTTCCCAGGCAGCTCCTGGAGCTCTCCCAGCCCCAGGCAGAGCCTGGAGAGCTGAACCCCCCCTCACCCTGTGTCATTCCATTTTCAGGAGCTGATTTGTCACCAGCAGCAAGCGGCAGCGTGGCACAGGCTGCAGGCAGCGCCTTGGTGGCCTCAGGTGTGCCCAGGATGGAGCCCCGTGTCCCCCTGGGCGCTGCCACCGGTGGTGACCGGGCGAGCGTCACCCCCGGGGCCCTCAGGTGAGGAACCGGTGGCGGCTGCGGGATGCGAGGGCGAGGGCAGGACAGGGCTGCCAGCTCCGGCTTCTCTCCCGGGGCCGGGACCGGGGCCAGGACCGGGATCCAGCGCCAGCCCCCCCCGGGATGAGCGGACGCCGCCCCGGGATGACGATGCTGGAATTCCGCTCTCCCGCTCGCTGTTTCTCTCTTTTCCTGCTCTCGTCTCCCGCTGATGCTCAGCGCCTCGGGCGGGGACCACAGAGGGTCCCAAGGGCCGGCACCGACCCCCGCTGTCCCCGCACCGCCCCCTGCACGCAGAGCGAGGGGACAAAGCCGGGACGCACCGGGCCAGGGGCCGAACACCTCGGGGAGCTCCGGCAGCCGCGGCAGCGCCCCCGGTGCCACCAAGGGGAGGGTCCCCGGTCCCCACGCCCCCGGGGCCACCTGCGGGTGACGGAGGGGCGGGGGCCGGTGCGGGCGGAGCTCCCGCAGCCCGGCCCCGCCCCGCACAGAAACTTTCCGTCGGCGCCGGGCGCTCGGCGGGAGCCCGGAGCGGGGCCGGGGCCGCAGCCGGAGCCGAGCCGAGCCGAGCCGAGCCGGGCGGGCCCGGCCCTATGGGCAGCGGCTGCCGGCGGTGCGGGGCGGTGCGGGGCGCTGCCCGCGGCCATGTCCGCCGGGGCTGCACCTGCGGCGGGCGGCGAGCGGGACCCGGAGCGGGGCGGCGGCGGCGGCGGCGGCTCGGAGGGGGCTCCCGGGGATCCCCCCCGGAAGAAGAAGGCCCGGGCGAACTCGCTGCGCCGGGCGTTCAGCTGGCTCCGGGGCCGGCGGCGGCCGCCCAAGGACGGCTCGGGAGGGACGGAGGGAGCAGGTGAGGAGCGGGCGGGGAGGTGGCCACGGTGGCACCCAAGGAGGGGTCACGGTGGTGGCCACGGTGGCACCCAAGGAGGGGTCACGGTGGTGGCCACGGCGGAGGTGGATGAGGAGATTTCAGGGTGCTGCTCAAAGAGGTGTCGAGGTGGTAGTGGCTAAGGAGGGTCATGGTGGTGGCCACATTGGGGTTGGAGTGATGGCAAAGTGTTGGGTGGTGGCCGTGGGAGTGGGAGAGGAGGTGTTGGGATGGTGTTCACGGTGGTGGCCAAGGCAGTGGGTGAGGAGGAATGAGGTTGGTGGCTGTGGAGGGCTCAGGGTGGTGGCTGTGGCCAAGGAGGAGTCACAGCAGTGGCCATGGAGGAGGTGGTGAAGGAGAGGTCAAGGTGGTGGCCATGGAGGCCGAGGAGGTGTTAGAGTGGAAGCCAAGGAGGGCCAGGCTGCTGACCCTGGAGGTGGCCAAGGAGGGGTCACCGTGGTGGCTGAACAGGAGTTGAGGTGGCGACCATGGATGTGGCTAAAGAGGGGGCACAGAGGGGCAGAGGTGGGGTGGAGCTGCTGGCCGTGGTGGCAGCAGTGGGTGAAGGAGGTGGCCGTGGTGGTGGCAGTGGTGGTGGCAGTGGCCATGGTGGCCGTGGTGGCCGTGGTGGCAGCAGGATGGATCCGGCAGTCCCTGGCACGATCTGGCCCCGGCCCCGGGGGCTGGTGCCGGTTCACTGGGTAGGTTCTCCTGCGCTGAGTCAGAAGGTCACTGGGGCTGAGGGAAATCTGGAGGGATGCCAGCCCCTGCCACCTCCTCCTCCTCCTCCTCCTGGGCAGGGTGTTTGCGTGCTCCAGGTGTGGCCCTTCCTGTCCCAGATAGGGCCCTCACCCCGGCCCCGTGGTGGCTGCTGCCTCCATTGCCCGCTCACGTCCCCGCCACCTTGGCCAGGACAATCCTGCAGGGAAGCTGCTCTGGGTCCCCTCATCCTGGAGCTGTTTTGGGGATCCAAGGGCTCAGCCAGGGAGCTTTGGCAGAGCCATGGCTGCTGGCTTGTCTGGTCATGCTCCTCTCCTCAGCGCTCCTTTGGCAGTAGTGGATGTCCCAATGAGGGAGGTATCACCCCAAAAACCCGTCCCACCCCACACTGTCGGGGACACCGTCTGTGTCACACCCCTGCCCTCCCTGCAGGCACCTCTGGCAGGGATGTTTTGGCTCTTTTGCCAAGGGAGAGGCCTCTCCTGTGGCACTCAAGCACAGCAGGGTGTCAGCTGGGACTTTCTTCCTCAATTTGCTCCAGGGAGTGAATTTCCAGGCATCCGAGCCTGCACGGTGTGTGGAGAAGCACACAGGGATCTGTGCTAGGACAGGAGTGGCTGTGGAAAGGGAAAGGAGGCTTGGGAGGAGCTGAGATCTCTCCTGGGCTGATCCATCAGATGCTGCTGGTGGTTCCTTCCCAGCCCTCCGTGTGTGGACGCCGCTGCCACAGCCCAGCACTGAAACCTGAGCAGAAAAACCGAGATGTGCCGGAGCATGTGATGTTCCTCCTCACGGCAGAAACGCCCCCAGCAGCTCTGCCAGCCCTTTTTTTCCATTTTTTTTTCCTTCCCCTGAAGTTGTACCGTTCACCAGCTAATCCTCAAAATGCCAAGTCACGGCCTGTCAGGGTCACAGCTCGGGGACCTGGCCAGGGCTCTGTCACTGCACTGCCACCCTGCTGTCCCATCAGACACATCCAGGAGAGCTCTCCTGAGTGCCCACAGCCCGTGCTGGTGATGGAGGGGCCGTTCAGTGCCCCAGCCCTGGGGGACTCTTCCCCTCTGTCTGCGCTTTTGGGACGGGAGGTGCCCCAAATTCCCTCACAGCTCCCCTGGTGCAGCAGCTCGGATGTGCAGCGGTTGCAGCTTGCCCGTGTGACTGAATCAGCCTCCCCGTGCTGGAACTGCATGGGGAGCACGCCAGGAACCCCTCCCTGCTCCAGCGCCTCCGGCTCCGCTGCGCCCTCCAGCACAGCCGGGGTTACCGGCATCCATCCGTCCGTCCATCCATCCGTCCATCCATCCATCCATCCATCCATCCATCCATCCATCCATCCCCGGGATGGGGGTCAGGATGCCTCAGGAGCATCCCTGGAGGATGCCTCAAGGTGCTGGGCAGGGCTTTGGGAAGGAAGGAGTGTCAGCCCTAAGGGTGTTTCCTGGGGAGCAGCGCCAGCCGAGCCTTCCTGCAGCAGGACCGGCTGGGAATTCTTGCAAACATCAGCTGGGAGCTGTGGGAGGGGGAGAGGGGGGAGCTGTGGTGAGCTCTGAGTGCCCTCAGTGTTCCCTGTGTCCGTGTGGTGCCAGGAATGTCGGATCAGGCCCGAGGCCCTGCCCTTCCCCAGGTGGGTTTGGGACAGGCCATGTCTGACCATGCTGGGGTGGGGATGGCTCAGAGGGATGGGAGAGAGAGAGAATTCAGAATTCATCCCAGGGCACGTGGATCATCCTGAGCATCCACCCTGCTGTGCTGTGGGTGCTGGCAAGGCTGGCATTGCTCAGCACTGAAAGCAGGCAGGGGGAGCATGAGAACATTCCCACTTTGGATCAATCCCGTGGCTCCCTGGCTATCAGCAATCCCATCTCTGGCTGCCCAAACAGCTGAGCTGTGAGGAAAGGCTCCCTAATCCCCTCCATCAGCCGCCTCTGGGGGACACCAGCGGCTCTGGGAGCGGGGGTGGCTCCATCCCAGCTGGAATCGCATCCTCTGGATGCTGGGCCCTGTTTGGGTGGATGGGCCCTGCTGGCTGCAGGTGCTGTCCCAGCCCTTCCAGCCGTGTTTATTTCCACAATAGAAATAAAGAGCAGTGCAGAGCAGTGACTGAGCCCTGGGGTGGGAGCAGCTGGGCCGTGCCAAGGGTCAGGCAGAGCAGGGATTTGGGGTGCCCGGCTGCTGCCGCTCCCTGGGCTCATTTCTGGGTGCAGAGGTGTGGACACAGCTCTGGGATGAAGGATGAGCTGCTGCTGCTGGGGTCCAGTGCTTTCAGTCTGTTTTTTTTGGCTGCTGCTTTATCCAGCTTTCACAACATTCCTCTTAATTCCTTGATGAAGTAAAGGAGTCGATGTTCCAGAAATATTAAATTAGGGAATTAGGGTTGGCTTTTTTTTTTTCTTTTTTTTTTGATGCCAGCTTAGTCCAGCAGCAATGATTTCCTGAACCGGGGTGGGGGATAGTGATGTTAAAAATAAAGCTTTCAATGCTCACAGCTGCTTTGTAGCAGCAGCAAGTGCTTGTTGGGACTGGGGATTTGCCATGTGCAGGGGGAGCAGAGGGTGGAGGGGCTGGGCTGTGGTGGGGATCGTGCTCAGTTCCTTCATGGAAAGGGTTTTTAAGCACTGGGAGGCGTTCAAGAAACAGCTGGACGTGGCACTCAGTGCTCTGGGCTGGCTGACAAGGTGGGGTTTGATCACAGGTTGGCTTTGATGATCTTGGAGGGTTTTTCCAACCTTAATAATTCCGCGATTCTGTGCTGGTGCCATTTGATGCCACAGGGTGCATGCGAGCCCTCGGGGAAATGTGGGGCTGAGCTGTGGAATCTCCCTGGACAATTATTTCCTCCATCCTCTGCTGCCACGCAGGGTTTGGTGTAAACAGAGTTGAGCTCCGAGGAGAGGGGAGAGGCGTGGGGATTGCTCCGTGTGTGTGTGTGTGTGTGGGAATGAGTTTGTTAATCTGCCAGAGGCACAGAGTGACACTTCAGCAAATGTGAGCAGCAGGAATCCCCTGGCTGGCCCGGCCTGGCACCGGTGAACAAAGAGAGGTGTGTCTGCAACCACAGCTATTCCACCTGGAGACAACTGGGAGGATTTCTCCTGAGAATAACGTTCCGTAAGATCCGATAAAGCGATTTCAGCGGGGTCATGTTTCCCCCGTGGAAGGGAGCTCTGGTTTCATAAGACAATATCATCATTGACTCCAGCCCCGGCAGCGATGGGAACAGAACCCGCTGCAAGGTGAAGAGCTGGGCAAGGATGAAGTGAAAAACCATTTCCCTGCCAAGCAGGAGCCAGAGCCTTGGGCTGGGCGCGCTGTGCATGGATAAAATCCACCTGACCCTGAGCAGGAGCTGCTCTCCCTCCACCTCTGGGGGCTGGAGCTGGACCTGTCATCAGCAGAGCCGGTCTGGACTCCGGCTGGAGCAGGAAATCATTTGAAACCCTTCTGGTTATGTATTTCTGTTAATGATTGGGGATCTCAAGTGGGATTTTTGCGTTACCTTTGCCTCGCTGAGCTTTACTTCCCCGTGAAGGGAACAAGGGCTGAATTCCTTTCTCATTCAGGCAGCTCAGCTCCTGCTCTGTGTTTGCTGGGAGATGGGGTCAGGTTTAGAAATCTCCAGAAGGAGGGGGTGAAACAGCAGGAGGGATGGACAGAGCACCAGGAGGGACAGATCTGCCCCCTGTGACAGCACAGAGGGGTCCCCATGCCTGGACTGGCCTCTCTGACCGAGGGAATGTGTGACTTTGTGAAGATCAGATGTGCTTGGGGCAGTCACGCTGAGCTGACCAGATCTGTATCTCCTGAACAGCTTCTCTGCTGCTCCAAGCTCTTATCAGAGCTCTCTCAGTGAATCAAACCCGGGATTTCTGGCCTGGAGGAGATTCTGCCTGGAATCTCTGGCCCCCAGCTCCCCATGGGAGGCTGAGGGTGTTTCCCCTCCCTTCCCTCCCTTCCCCTTTGGGCTGCACTGAGGTTCTAACGCAGAGCAGGGAGCTGGGGTGCTCAGCTGTCTCCAGGCTCCCTGAGCCAGATTTCTGCTCGCAGCAACATCAGCCCTGGCATGCAGGGTTAGAGCAGTGCTGCCCTCAGCTTTCAGCAGCATTGGGGTCCGTGGGGATGCTGGAGCTCCCCATGCTGCTCCCAGCCCCCCAAATCCAGCAGGGACTGAACCACGAGGCGCAGGTGGAGCTGCAGCTCCTCGTGGCTGTGTTACCCCATCACAGAGAAGCCACTCGGTATTTTTGGCACTCGCGGGGTGCCCGGGGCTGGCTCCTCCCGGAGCTCTGCCGGCACAGCCCGGGCACAGCCCCGGGGCGGCGACGCCTCGGTGGCCGCGCTCGTTCCCTGAGCAAGTGCTGGCACGGAGGGAGGGAGAAAGGGAGGGAGGGAGGGAGTGTGTCTGTTTTGGGAGTGGAGGGGGAAGTGTCTCCCTGGATCTGGGGCAGGCTCCAGCCTCTGCTTCTCCCAGGGAGAGAAACACAAGAGCTGCACCGGGAGATTTGTTCTGGGTGGCTGCAGAGGAGCCCCCTGGGGCACTGGGTGGGTCCGTGTTTTGGGATGGGCATCCCAGGGATGCTGAGAGGTGCTGGGCAGTGGGAGGAGGCCTCGTCCCAGCCTGGGTGACCAGAGGAGAAATGATGGCACACAGTCACTCTGATCTGCTGCTCGTGTCACCATGGCCTTGTTTCATCCCCGCTGCCCCGAGGTGGAAGGGCTGTCCTGTGAACAGGAGTGAAAAACGGGGAATATTTCCCACTGGATGCCCTCATGTCCTTAACAGCTCCCGCAGCAGATGGGGCAGCAAACCCACAGGCCCAGCTGAGTGTGCCCTGGGCACCCAACCAAGCTGCTGAGGAGCTGAACCATCAATATTTCCATTGCTGAGGAGGAGACTGAAGTCCAAAGATTAATTTGGTGCCGATCACCTCGGGAGGTCAGGACAAAGCTGCTGGTTGATCTTTAATTTTTTCCTTTCTTTCTTGCACCACCTCCCCGGTTCTGTGCCTTTCCCACAAAACCCTCCTTCCTATTTATCCCGGCCTTTGATGAATCACCTAAGGAACATAAACATTGCCAGCAGGAATTGCCCACCACTGCCTGCCTGGCTGACCCCTCCCTGCCCT